CAGGCTCAAAATATTTTTCTCTATTTCTATACCAAGCAAAAAAAGTTCCAAGTGTCAATAAATCTTTATCTTGCAGTCTAGATCCTAGTAACTCAAAAGATTGTTTTTAGAGTCCTAAATCTTGGATCAGGTCATTTAATTCAGCTTGAGAAAATTGTTGAGGACATATGGAAACTACTTGAAACTCGTCACTAGAACTTTCTTTCACTTTCTAATTCGTCTAGGCTTTGGCATGCTTGTGGTATTGGAATGCCAGGCCCCTGAGAAATTGGGGAGAGTGCCAATTTTATGTTTAGATAAAAAAAATTGTTTTTTATTTTTGGTACTATACCCCTGCACATTACACGAACAAAAGTTGCAGTCATCGCTGTGGTTTCGAGGATCTCTTCAAATCATGGGAACACCAAAACGAAAAGATTTAAGTTTATTTTTTGACCACATTCTAAGTCCTTCAACACACCCTGAACAAACTCCTTGCGGGCCCAAGATTTGTCCTGATCGCCTATCTGCACACCAAAATACGGCAAAGTACACATTTTTAACAAATTCAGAATTATTTCTTTGTTGTTTTTTTACTACAAGTTCACCACAGTTATAGCAAAAACTCTCAGAAGAATTTACACAACCTCTTGAAGTCATTTTTGAAATGCACGTTACGAAAGTTGGAACAGAAATAAATAAATGAAAGGGAAATTCCTTGGGAATTTCTGCATTTGTATATACTGGGATTTTCCATACTTACTATGGAAAATCCTGATATATAAATGATTCAACGCTGACTAATATTATCTTCATGAGTTACTTTATGTTTTGCTTGAGCCTAGGAAACATAAAATTATCTTATAATAAATTAATAAATAAAATATTAATTTATTTGGCAATAAACCTGTTTTGGGGCCTAAAATAGGCCCCAAAACAGGTTTATTTTTTATTTCACATCATTTTGCGTTTTTTAGAAAAATATTGCGTGATGGAATTTTTTTGATAACTTTTTCGAATTCAGCGACCAAAAATACATAAAAATTAACTCCTTAATCTGAGGAAAAATAAATGTTGCAGACATGTGTTATTTAATTTTAAGAAAAACAACTTAGCTGTTAAACAATAAAAGATTTGAATGAATTTACACTAGAAATGGGTAACAAAGACTTTGCACGAGAGTTTGTGAATTATATTTTAGTATGAATAATATAGTTTAGAAAACAAAAGCTCTAAAATAAATTTTATTTTCTAGCTTTTAAAAAGTAAATAATTTACAGTCATTTAATTATAATGACTGTAAATTATTTACTGTTACAACTTATTTCAGCATATTAATTGTTTAAATGCTGTAGATTTAAATTTTATAAAGAAGTTTAGTAAATAAAAATATTTTGATATTTATTGTTTTGCAATGACTCCTCTACTACTTATTTACGTTTATAAAATAAGCTTAGCTTTTTGAATGCTTGACCTTGGTGAATGAAGAAAAAACAAAATACATATTTAAGCAGCGGCGGATTAAGACTTCTTGGAGCCCAGGGCTATTTTTGTTTTTGGAGGCCTTTTTATGAGCCAGAGCCTAAAAATGACTAAAAAAAAAAAAAAATCCTCCAAAACTTTTTAGGGCCCCTAAATTTGCGGGGCCTAGGGCTATAGTCCCCCCCTATCCCCTGCCTTTGATCCGGCACTGCATTTAAGTAAGATCTTACAGTGTTCTCAAAAAAAAAATGGGACCGCATGATTTTTTTTTCTTCATACAACTCAATGTTTTATCACTTATTTAAAAATTTGTTTCTCAAATACAAAATTAGAACTACTAACGCACTATATTCTTTAATAAAAAAACAAGGAAATTATTTAAACTGTTGAAATTCAACTATGCTGCAGAAGTGTTAAAAAACTAAGATAAATGAAAAAATTTTATAGATATTATAAAATAGAGTAAAATTGATTGTCCAAAAAAAAATTTTAAATTTTTGTTTTTTTATGTTAGATACTTAATATATTTACACTGTTTTAGTATTTAAAATTAAAAAGAATCAGAAAAAAAGGAGGAGGGCCCTTAAATTAAATACAAATCAAAAATAGATTTCTTTAAAATTATGCCTTAAGTTTCCTGTTACAGTTTTGTACTTTACAAAGTGTTACTTATGATTTAATATTGGTTTTTGGAAATTAAAATTCTTTTTAACTTTTAATATCTTCATGATTTAAAAAAATTTATTCTATTTTATTTAAAATTAAATTTTTCAGCAATTTTATATAAATAAAATAATATAATTAAATGGCAACAGTGGCAAAGAAAGATGCTTTTGATTCTACTTCTTCAAAAATTCAACAATTAAATAAGTATATGACATTCATTCTTTTATTATTTTAGCATTTAGTTTTAACTATATCATTTGTTTTTTGCTAAAACTCATACCTACCAATTTAAGAAAAAAACATGTTTCAGACTTCGATAAAGGTAGAATAATTCAAATGCACAATGATGATTGGCTTTTGCGTAATATTTCCAAAGAAGTTGGATGTGGTAAATCTACTGTTCAAAAAGTTGCGACCCGATTTATTTCTTAAAATTCAAGTAGCTGAAAGTCAGGGTCTAAAAGAAAGCGAAAAACAACAGAAAGAGAAGATCGATTGATTGTGAGGGAAGTGATGAAGAATCGTAGGATACCAGTGAATCAGATAAAGCAAAATTCAGGGGATTTCAGTACATACATCGACTGACAAATAGCCTGACTCGCAGTATCTCTGTTTGTGTTTACCAAAACGAGTTTGAATCTATTTTATTATCACTTACTCACTGAGTTGTAAAGATCAAATTTAAGGTATTCACAAGTTGTTTATCTGACAGCTAGAAAGTTGGTATTTTAATACGCTAATAAATAAAATTATCATTCCAAGAACTATAGTTTTATTTGCTAGGATATTAATTCTGTAAATTTATATTAAATTCCATTTACATTTGAAATACCATCAACACAGCTATTTGACCAGCTAATTAAAAGGAAATTGAAATAACTCTTTATCAGTAAGTCTTAAAACTTATCTCACAATACCTCGTAAAACTATAAAAAGTGCTCACACTTTTTATAGTTTTACGAGGATTTAGAGCAACATCATTTAGTTCATAGAAGTCTAATGAGTAGTCTATATATAAATAAAACCCCACAACCTTTTTTTTCTTTTGTTCTGTGTTTTCAATACAGGTGGTTACCTCCAATGTTTACCACTGAATCATTTTTAAACCGTGTCTTAGTCACAGAGTTACGATTGGTTTGTATTGTTAAATTACCACTGTGAAAATAATTAATTTGTTACCGAGAGAGGTTAATATAGGCATAAACATGACAGCTTTTTAACTTCGTTGCCATCTGACACTTAATTATGTAGAAGTTTGTTAATCTGTCTTTTTTTGAAATTGGCAATCTTATTGCCACGAATGTCATATCAAAAGAAATCGTTGCCTGTTCTTGTTTTTGTTCATTTTATTTTTTTCAGTTCTGAGGTTAAAGTCTTGGAGTCTCTAAGCCTTTTTCAAAATAGACAATTTTTTCCATTAAGTCATAATAATATGTTTTGAATTAAAAAAAAAAAAAAACTTAATTGAAAATATTTTGGGGGGCACATTCATTAAATTTTGCACTTTATTATAAAATTGTTTTTTCTTTTTCATTTCTATTGATGTTGCTAATTGATTTGCACTTAATAATAATTCAAAAGCAGAAAAAATCATTAGCATCAAATAGCAGTTTAGTTCTGTTTCTTGTATTTTTGGTATTTCTATTTGTTCATTCCGAATGATTTTTTATTACATTCTTGAAAATTGAACTTGTTAGTAATGTAATTAAACTTATTTATAATTAAATTTGTTTGCAAATATAATTGAATTTGTTTGTACCTTTATGTTTATTTATATATTTTCATTTTTTAGTGTAAAACAAATAGTACGCGAATTATTTGAGATATGGTTAAAATTTTAAAAAAAGTAAATATCAAACTAATCTCACTCTAAGTTCTTTTATGTACTTTTAAAACTTTGGAATAAAAATTTGCAAGATTTATTTTTTAGTATTTTCTTTTTGTTTTTAATTAATTGCGTGGACTAAAATAATTCTATGTATGATCTTAATAATTAAAAGAAAAAACGAACAATACAGCACGATGTTATATTGTGTAACATTTTGCTTTATTATTGTTTGTAGTAAAAAAAATTGTCATAAACTGGTATAAAACAATAAAGTATCTTTAAATTTTTATGGTATAAAAAATTTAATTTTCTGATTTTAGTTATAATATAACTTTTGCCTTAAAATATATATAAATTTGATAGACTAATCCAATTATTATTATTTGTAAAATTATTTGTAAAAAGTATTAGTTTTTTTTTTTTTTTTTTTAACCTTAATATATATATATATATATATATATATATATATATATATATATATATATATATATATATATATATATATATATATATATATATATATATATATAAATATATAAATACAAGTATATATATATATACATATATATATATATATATATATATATATATATATATATATATATATATATATATATATATATATATATATATATATATATATATATATATATATATATATATATATATATATATATATATATATATATATATATATATATATATATATATATATATATATATATATATATTAATTGTCTCACACATACTTTTGTTTTTATTAACAAAATATACCTTTTTTATGTTATATGAGTTTTATAATTATTTTTACAATATTAATCTTATAATTTTTAAAATTGATTGTTTTTCAAATCAATTGTTAATGTAGCATGATTGGTTTTAATTTTTTATTTCAAAATTATTGTTTTGTTGTCAAAAAAAATATAAAATTTAGAAATAAATTAACAAAAATATAAAAATGAGAAATAAAAACTCTTAAACAAGTAACTTGCCTAATACTTAAAAATAAATTTAGAAACTTTAGAAACTTAATTAAAATACGTACCAAATTTGAGAAAAAATTAACATTAATAACATTTTTGAGAATATTCGAAATCCGCAAAATTTCAGATGTTTCTGTAAGACTTCCATTTAGTATAATAATATTCAATTTATCTGTTGTGTTCACAACATTTTCTTTTGTAACAATTGCCTTAAGAAAAAAAAAAAGAATGAAAAGCACGCACATACATGTATGTATGTATGTATATGTGTATATATATATATATATATATATATATATATATATATATATATATATATATATATATATATATATATATATATATATATATATATATATATATTTATATATATATATATATATATATATATACATATATATATATATATATATATATATATATATATATATATATATATATATATATATATATATATTAATATATATATATATATATATATATATTTATATATATATATATATATATATATATATATATATATATATATATGTATATATTTATATATATATATATATATATATATATATATATATATATATATATATATATATATATATATATATATATATATATATATATATATATATATATATATATATATATATATATATATATATATATATATATATATATATATATATATATGTATATATATATTTTCATAAGCAATAAAAAAAACTTTATAAGAAAATTCTTTTTTTGATGACGATATTTAACATAAATATTGTTTATTAATCAAATCATACAACTCACACCGATACTCGCATTTATTAATACATATAATTATAACCTTTTCTTTATAATACATTTCATTTATTACTCTCCCACCCCCTCTTCAATACATTCTGAGTTCTGTACAAAAGATTTGTTTGCGTTTGTTGAGAAGATTAATAGTGACAAACTCATTCATCATTTTTTCATGTTTTAAACAATTTAATTTCTATAATTCTGTTACGCTATATCATAGAAAGCAGTAAATTTCATTCCTAGTTTTAACCTTAAGTTAAAAATCAATAAACTAATTTAACAAAAATACTGCACTTTGCAACCTTTCAAACACACTTTCTAATCAAATTATGATATTTTGATCAAAACAATGAAATGACATTGAGTTTACCACTTACACCTGCTCTTGGAGATCTCTTTTGGGTAACTTTGTAGAAAACTGGCTAATATTGTATAATTCTGATATTCAAGCTTCTAGTTTTCTTACCAGACACAAATTGATTTCTTTCATAATAGAAGAAAAATTAGATTCAAAACTTTATTTTAGATGTAACTATATAAAAAACTCATATTTCTACTTAAATCAGGATGATTGTATTGTTTAAAATTATTTTGAATATTTTTAAAACATTAAAACAAAATATGAACTCATTTTGGCTTCTTGATAAAATACACAAATCTCATATGGTACTTTAACTTCTAAAATATATTTACTTCTAAAACATTACCTCAAAAGAAGTAACTTTTTTATTTAAACTTCTTTACAACTATAAAACTTTAGAAATTACTAAAACAAGTTGAAATTTCATTATCAAAAGATACTTTCAACTAGTTTCTGAAAAACCATTTTTTGCTTCACTTGAACCATGTCAATATTTCTCCAATAAAGAGAAATTTAACTTTTAAATTCAAATCATTTATAATTTAAAATTTTGTTTGTGCATGCTAAAACTCTTGTTACATTGATGAGACATCTTGTCATTGTAAAACACAATTATTTAAGCGCTAAAGGAGGGATAAAAACTTCTGTCTATTTAAACACATTTATTCCAATAGCTAGTGGATTAAAACATCATTATTACTTTTATTTTTTTTCTTCTTTTAATTTATTGCATTTATTTTTGTTTAACTTATTTTTGTTTATATTTATGTTTCTTTGTGTTCTGTTTATACTTTAATGCAACGTGAGCTCAGTAACTAACTACTTACTCCAACTGCAAAACCTACACTCACCTTAGACTCCTGTATTTTGTTAGATGCAGTGTTTTTCCTAATGCACTTCCAAAATATCATGCCTGGTTTTCTCAAAAAACTGTTGCGGGAAGTAACTCCTTTTAACTACTCCAGGTCAGGTCAGGATAATCGAGATCAATCTTGCTACTGGTATCCCGTAACCCAGTACCACCTGCCACAAGCCCAGCTGCCTTGCAGAGTGTGTTCTTCTTATGCAAAGGCTAGGAGAAATAAACTCCGACTAAAAATTCCCCTGCTTTGGGGCTCTTGGTTGAGTAAAGGCTAGAGATGGTGTCTCGATAAAAACACTCATCTTGGCCAGATGTTAACTGCATCCAGCTAAACATACCCTGCCTTGGGGCTCTTGGTTGAGTAAAGGCTAGAGATGGTGTCTCGATGGAGATACTCATCTTGGGCGGATGTTAACTGCATCCGGCTACTGTATTATAGAAGGCCTCCTAGGCAAAGACTTTAGGGGTAAGCAGAAAAATTCTGCTAACCAGCCTCGAACCCCTCCTTCATCTATTAGGCTGGCGTAGATGTAACCTGTGTTACATTGTTTCCTGCCTAGGATGATGAATGCTGGACCTTCTTGACTCTACTCATAGAATTTTGCTTAAGCCTTCTTGATAATGGCTATGAAACTCTTCCTGTCATCTCCATATGAGGGTACAGCTCTAAAACTCAGTTTAATGGTTCTGAGGCCGGCTGGTAGTAAGGTTTCCCGGACTCTATGGTAGCTCTCAGAGAGGCTGATTCTACCAATAGCTGCAAAATATCAGAGTATTAACAGTGCCATGTTGCACATGGATGGTGTCCCTGTTAATGCTTTTGGTGTGCATTGTCAAGGCTACATAAGGAGCTCTATGTCACGGCTTAGGGTTAATTAACAGGACTGAGACAACTGCATAGCTCATTGATTAGGAGGCTGTGCTCTATCTATGAATGAGTCAGGTTCTCATTAAACCCAAATCATGACCAAAGTAACCAAAAATTTAAAACCTAAATAAACATTCCCACCACCTAAATATTTTAATATATCTTTTACAAATATTCGCGGTCTACGAAGCAACTTTCCATCAGTTGAGTCTTACCTCCTGCAAAATTCACCGGACTTGTTTGCACTCAGTGAAACAAATTTATATTCTGGAACTCCTTCTTCAGATGTCAGTGTTGATGGGTACTATCCTTTGATTCGTAAAGACTCCAATAGTCACATGCTAGGTTTAGGGGTATACATACGCATTAATTCCCCTATTTGTCGTGAAATCAGGTTCGAATCCTTTGACCATTCTTTAATGTGCTTTCGCTTAGCACCTCTTTGCTCTATCAACTTTCTCTTTATTCTTTATCTTTCTCCTTCTTCCCATGATTGCAATCTTTTAGATGTTATCTCTGATCAAATTGACCATGCCCTCTCTCTTTACCTCTCTGCCAATATTGTTGATGTTGGTGATTTTAATGCCCATCACACTGAATGGCTTGGCTCTAACACCACTGATCCTGCTGGCACTAAAGCCTTTAACTTCTACGTTTCTCAATCTCTTAATCAGATAGTTAACTTTGTGACTCGTTTTCCTGACAACCCTAATCATTTACCTTCACTCCTTGACTTATGTCTCGTCTCTGACCCTAGCTTATGTTTAGTTTCTCCCTTTTCTCCCTTAGGTGGTTCTGACCATGCAATGATCTCTATAAATCTGTCTTCTCGTACTTCTTTTTTAGGCTCACCTTATCATCGCACCACCTACTACTACCCTAAAGCTGACTGGGATTCCTTTTGTGATTTTCTTCGTGATGGTCCTTGGGCTGATGTTTTTTCTCTCTCAGCTGACAAATGCGCCTCCTACGTAACCTCCTGGATTCAAGCTGGAATGGAAGCTTTTATTCCTTATCGTCGGTTTCAAGTCAAGCCTCATTCTACTCCATGGTTTTCTCCTTCTTGTGCGGCTGCTTTATCCAATCATATTCATTTTTTCCATCTTTTTCGAAAGAACAACTCTCTTGAGAACAAACGGCTATTTATTATTGCAAGAAATCGATGTAAAAAGGTGCTTCTTGATGCTAAACTCCATTATTCTCAGTTCACTAAATCTTGCATCTTATCGCAGAAGTTAGGCTCTAAAGACTTTTGGAAAATCTTCAACAGCATTGTTAACAAGGGTAGATCTAACATTCCATCTCTCATTCATGGGACTGATCTTATTATTTCTCCCAAGGATAAGGCTGAACTATTTGCAAAGAACTTTTCTTCTAATTCCACTCTTGAATCTTATGGACATTTTCTTCCTTTTATTCCAGTCAAACAGGTTGACCCATTGTTAGACATTCAAACCACTCCGGCTTCTGTTGCTAAAGTCATATCTCAATTAAACTCGTCTACAGCTTGTGGTCCAGACAACATTCCTGTCACAGTCTTGTAGATTTGTTCTCCAGAACTTCAATTCTCTCTAAACTATTTAACAAGTGTTTGACTGAGTCTTGTTTTCCTGCTTGTTGGAAAATGGCATCTGTGGTTCCAATATTCAAAAACTCTGGAGAAAATTCTTACTCCTCCAAATATTGTCCGATCAGTCTTCTTTTTGTTATTAGCAAGGTCTTTGAGTCTTTGATCAACAAATTCCTCACATCTTATCTTGAGTCAAATAAACTGCTGTCAGACAATCAACACGGTTTTCAATCCTCTCGCTCTACGGCCGACTTGCTAACTGCTGTAACTGAAAGATTTTATCGTGCATTAGATGGAGGCAGTGAGGCTGGCTATTGCTCTCGACATATCTAAAGCTTTCAAATAAGTTTGGCATGCTGGTCTTCTCTATAAGCTTGCTTCATATGGTGTTTCTGGGAAAGTTTTTGAGATTATCAAATCATTTCTTTCTAACCGGTTTATTAAAGTCATTCTTGAAGGCCAACACTCTTCTTTATTTCCAGTAACTTCTGAGGTTCCCCAAGGTTCCATCCTGGGCCCTGTTTTGTTTCTTTTCTACATAAACGATCTTCCTGACAACCTTTCATCTAAAGTAGCTCATTTTGCTGATGACTCAACTTTATACTCCTGTCTTGACAAAAAGTTTTCTTTTTTAGATCGCCTAGAACAAGCAGCTGATCTTGAATCTGATCTCACTTCAGTAATAGATTGGGGTTCACAGTGGCTTGTGAATTTCAACTCTAAAAAAACCCAGTTGCCTACTGCAAACAACTACCGTAATATGGTCAACATTCCTATATTATTGAATGGCAATCCTCTTACTGAGTCGTCCTCTTTACGTCTTCTTGGATTATCGCTTACTACTGACCTTTCATGGAAACCATATATACAATCGATTGCTAAATTAGCTTCTGCTAAGGTTGCTTCTCTTTATCGTGCTCGCCATTTCCTTACTTCTGATTCCATTCTCTACCTCTACAAATCTCTTATTCATCTCTGTATGGAATACTGTTGTCATATTTGGGCTGGTTCTTCTAACGAATCACTTTCTCTTCTTGACAAGGTCCAAAAACGCATTGTAAATTTTGTTGGACCTGGACTATCTGCTAAGCTTGAACCTCTTTCCCATCGTCGTAAAGTTGCATCTCTTTCTCTTTTCTACAGATACTATCATGGTCACTGCTCAAAGGAGTTATCATCTCTAGTTCCATCAACCAAAATTCATTCTCGTTTTACTCGTCATTCAGCTAAGTCTCATTCGTTTACTGCTTCTGTCCTTGCATGCACTAAAAACTTTTATTCATCTAGTTTTTTTCCCCGGACTTCAATCATTAGGAACTCTCTCCCATCTTCATGTTTTCTTGACTCATACAACCTTCAACTTTTCAAGTCTTCTGTCAACCGTTTCCTTGCTCTTTAACTCAGTTCTTTTTTTTTTACTAGTAACTCCCAACTTAATAGTGGTTGCTTGCAGCCTTGTTGAGAGTGAATGCAAATAAAAAAAAAAAACTAAAAGTTTATTAAAGTTTAATGGCTTTTTTTATTGGTTCAGGACGCTAGCTCTTTAAAGTAGTACCTATTATAGTATTTATAGAAGAGAGAAAGAGAAGTACATTAAGACGATGTGATAATTGTTGGGAGTTATTGGCAAGAGCAGATCCAACTATGTTAAAAAAGCGTTTTTTAAATTTCATAATAGTAAGCTATACTATTCTTTTTTCAACACAATCAAATATGGTTAGTTTTCCATAAAACAACAAAGTATTTCTCAATGGAACCAGTGTATTTCTGCATTAATAAAAAATTTCAAGAAAAAATATCCATTTGTTACGAGTTTTTTAATGCTCAACAGAATTCAATTTAAAAATATACTGTTCGAGTGTATTTCTTTTTAATTTCTCTCTGTACTGTAGTTGTTTTATATATAATGTCTTTAACAAACAAGTGGTTTTATTTTTATTTTATTTATTATTTACCTATCTTATATTTATTTATTATTGTGTTATATATGTTAAATTTTATGTTATTATTATATCTAATTATCATCTATGATTTGTACATACAATTTATATTGTATTACAATATTCTTAATATTATTGGTACTTAATTATTATCATTATTATTATTGATTTGTATTATTACTATTATTATTAGATATATCATTATTATTTGTTTAACAATCTTTTCTCCTTTTGTCTCTTATTTATATATACAGATGATAAGTTTTTCCTTTTTTTTTTTTTTTTTTTTTTTTTGTTTTCTATTTGTTTACTTATTTATTTTTTCGTGAAATTTTTATGTTTATTAGGTGTCACTCCATTGACTAGTTTGTTACTATATAAATGACACCTAACCAATTAATATTGTATTACGATGAAATTTGTAAGTTTTACTGAAATGATTGGAAAGAAAATATATATTTATATATATAAATATATATATATATATATATATATATATATATATATATATATATATATATATATATATATATATATATATTTATGTATATATATATATATATAGATATATATATATATATATATATATATATATATATATATATATATATATATATATATATATATATATATATATATATATATATATGTATATATATATATATATATATATATATATATATATATATATATATATGTATATATATATATATATATATATATATATATATATATATATATATATATATATTTATATATATAGCCTACTAGATGGCGAATTTCGGGAAAATTGCCATCTAGTAAGCTTTCTATATAGTAGTTTCTCTCTCTCTCTCTCTCTATACATATATATATATATATATATATATATATATATATATATATATATATATATATATATATATATATATATATATATATATATATATATATATATATGTATAGAGAGAGAGAGAGAGAGAGAGAGAGAGAGAGAATCTACTATATAGAAAGCCTACTAGATGGCAAATTTCCCGAAACTCGCCATCTAGTAGGCTATATATATATATATATATATATATATATATATATATATATATATATATATATATATATATATATATATATATATATAAATATATATATATATATATATATATATATATATATATATATATATATATATATATATATATATATATATATATATATATAAATAAATATATATATATAGCCTACTAGATGGCGAATTTTGGGAAAATTGCCATCTAGTAGGCTATCTATATAGTAGTCTCTCTCTCTCTCTCTCTCTATATATATATATATATATATATATATATATATATATATATATATATATATATATATATATATATATATATATATATATATATATATATATATATATATATATATATATATATATATATATATATATATATATATATATATATATATTATATTTATATTTATATTTATATATATATATATATATATATATATATATATATATATATATATATATATATATATATATATATTTCGGTCTATCGGTTTATCCATAGTTATATATATATAAAATCGGTCTATCCATAATTGGATTAAAGCGATGAGTGCATTTAAGTAAAAATGTGCAATACTTAAAACTTAGTTTTATCCCAGATGGCATTTCGACGTCGAACAAACGTCGAGCGACGTCGGATCTTGACGTCGGATAGACGTTGGGTTTACGTTGGAAATGGAAATGTTATTTGACGTCGGATAAACTGACATCGCGCGACGTCGGCATTCCGATGTAAATTCAACGTGTTTTTTGAAAACTAAAAAACGTTGCCTTAGGCAGTAATCGAACTTTGGTTTATTTGAAACTAAATCCTACGCGCTTACCACTACACCACAGCGACATATTAGTTAAAGTGTTTATCTAGTAATTTATACTTGTAGCTGTTTAGAAATATTACTTTGATAAGAAATAATTCTGTTTAAATATTATATAAATATTAAAACAAATAGTTATATATTATAAAAAATGTATACTCGAAAATGTTAATAATTAAAAAACTATGCTAGTGCATCATACAAAACCTCATGATGTTTTATCAACCATTATTCAAACTTCTTTCCATTAATAAAAAACACGCTTAGTTCACATATTTATTGAAGAGCGCAATTGCACACATATTGTTGGGTTTGGATTAAATTTTCATCAGCGATGTCTTACGACGTTGTTTCGACGTCGTTTTAAGGACGTTGGATTGACGTCGGAAGACGTTAAAAGACATCGGAGTTCGTTAATATTATGACGTTGCCTGACGTCTTTTTATCGACGTTGGATCAATGTCAGTACTGCGACGTTTTTTGGACGTCTTTAATAAGATGTCGGAACAACGTCAAAATACATCGAAACGACGTCAGGGGATGTTACGATAAAGACATCGCCCGACGTCATTTTACTGACATCGGAAAAACGTCGGAATAGGTCTTTTGACATCGCTGATGAAAATCATACGTAATTCCGACATCAGATTAACGTCGGGTGCCCACTGGGATCTAATATCTTTGATGATATTTAATAATTTTCCCTAAAATACAAATAAATGATAGAATTTAAGAGAATAAAAATATTTTATTAAAAATGATATACCAGGGCCGACGATATGGTTTTAAAGGAGAGGGGGGGGGGGCAAAATCGTGCATTCTTTTGGAGCTGGTGGCAAGGCTTAAACACTACTAAATTGCTTGATAATTTGTTTACTTATTCTAAAATAGATAAAGAAGTGGGAAAGCAATAGGGAGCAAGATTTCGAGAAAAAAATTTACAATATACATTTCTAGAGCACCCTAATCTTAACTTGAATGCTTCTTTTTAAACTTTATAAGTTGATTAAAAATTTGTTTTATAATAATTATTATAACTATATAATTATTACTATAATATTAAAAAAAAGAGTTTAAAATTAAAAAACTAAAATAAAAACAATGAATTAACTAACATTTTCCAAAGCAATAAGTTGTTGTGATTGCCATGCTGTATTAGAATTTAAAGAACAAAGATTCAAAAATGAATGATTATCAGGTTTCCACTCAGGTTTAGCAAAAACAGCATTCCAAATACATTGTCTTGTTAGTTTAGCACTTGTATTGTACAGACAAGGTTTTATTACTGACTGGTTAACTGTAGTTTTTGGCCATGTATATACACCTGTATGGTCATTATCTCCTATTGTCTCTTCCAAACAAAAAGCTAAATATAAGAGAAACCATAAAAATATTAAATGAACATTTTGAACAAAAAAAAAGCATAAAATTACTAATGATTGGATGATGATACAAATAGCTGATAATACAAATACAAAAGCTCTATCTTTGCGTCTCATATAGTTCTTTTATTTACGTTTAATTTAAGATATGTAAAAATTTCTGGAGACATTTAAATTATTAATCATAAATAAATCAATATAAAGATTAAGTGCGTCACAGTAAAAAACTAAACCAATGAGACACCAACAACCAATCAAAAAAAACCAAATTTACGATGTCATAACAATTAAAAGAAAAAAAATACCAATAAAAAAAATCTTGAGGTAGGGTGTCTCGACCCACAGACCTCTCTGATGAAAAAAAGCGGTAATATATACTTACTACTTAACACTATGCTATATACTACTTAACAAAATAATACTTTTCTATACATAAATATCTTCCCAGTGGGCACAGGACGTAAAAAAGACGTCCTCAGGACGTTCAAATCGCGTCCGTCCGTCCCATTAAAATTCTAAACGTCTTTTGAACGCCTTTTTTGCGTCCAATAATTTTTTCGTCCAAAAATTATCCAAAAAATATTGCTTTATTAAATAAAAAAAAATCAGTTAAATCACGCAAGCGATTAAAACTTCTTAAAATTTAAAACTTTTAAGTAACGCAGTTTTAATAAAGTTTTTTTTCAATTACAAAAGAAGTATTTTTATAAAGACTAATAGACACGTTTTATCTAATTTTTGTTTTTGTCATCAATTACTTGAAAATTGTGGTAATATTGATTACCACAATTTTCACGTAATTAAAAATTTCATTACAGGTAATGAAATTTTTACAGATAATGAAAGAAAAGGTTTAAAACTGAATATATGCTATACTATGTATATATATATACTTGATATACTATTAGTGAAGTATTGCTATATCAAGAACCAAGTTCTAACAATTTCAAAGACCTGTTAATGATACATGGAACAATTATCATGATAATTCTCTGAATTCAATGTCTTTACTCGACAACATTGAGCTATTCAATAATGGAACCAGTATATTAGTTAATGATCTTCTTGAAATATTGCCAAATCAAGGTTTGGAACTTCCCAAAGATTCAAGGAGAACTTAAAAACACCTTATAAAAAGCGACTTATATACAGGTTCTTGCTAATTTTCATATATATTTTTAAACATTTTATTACTTGAGAGTCGTATTAATATTCATACATATATTGAAACTAATAGAGACATTGAAATAAATAGTTAAAAACTAGGTATATGATATACTATATATATATATATATATATATATATATATATATATATATATATATATATATATATATATATATATATATATATATATATATATATATGTATATATATATATATATATATATATATATATATATATATATATATATATATATATATATATTAAGTATATACTTGATACTTGATATTGTATTTCAAGTATAATAATTGATATACTATATCAAGAACCAAGTTCTGACTGAAAGACTTAGACATCGCAGAATTTCATGCATAGTCATATTTTTCAAAAAGAAAACCTATTAATAATACAGAGAGTTTATGCTAATTCAATATCTTTAATTAACAACATTTAAATTGTTCTATTCAAAATAATTAGACCAGTACATTAGTTAATGAACTTGTTGAAATATTACAATATCAAGTTTTGGAACTTTGCTAAAAACCAATTACTTAACTTTAGTAGTTAGTTATTTTTGAAGTTCAAAAGTTTTGACTAAAAAAAAAATCTATTTGAAAAAATTAAACCAGACGTACAGGCTTGGTCGGGAAGCGAAAGCGATCGCTCTCGATTGCTGACCACGTAAATAATATTTAGTTGCGAAAGCTGGCCAGATTTTTTAGTCGTTTATGAGAACTATTTAACAAACAAAAAAAAAGCGCTCAAGATTAATTGGACCGATGAGAGACAATGACAAAAAATTTTTTATAAAATTAGGCGATGTTTTTTATGTAAAGTAACAACTTACGATTGTTTAAAAAGGAAACAAGTATTCTTTATTAATCAAAGTTTGCAAGTTTTAGTTTTATTTAAGCTAAATTATTTTATAAATAAAAAAGCTAATTTTTATCTTCAAAATATCGCTGATGATGTTTAGTGAGTGGGCTTTTTAATTAGTAATTAAAGCAGAAAAAAGTGTAACGAGTTTTTAAGAATGGCAAATGAAGCGAAAATAATTAGAGTTAGTAAACCAATATCTAAAAACCTTTTTTTATATCTAACTATTTGCTATATATATTTGTGTTCTGTCGTGACCTCAGGCGCGGTGCTTGTTCATCCGCGAGTTACTTTGTATGCGTTGTTTGTGTTTAGTAACCAGAAACTTCTTATATGTGTTACATGATTAGTTTTATTAACTTTAACAATTATAACTTTATTGAAAATGCAATTATTTTTGTAAGTCTTTGTTTAAATCATAAAAATTGCTTTAAAAGATACATTACGACAAAAAACGGATCAACAAAATTACATTTACATAAAGAATACATACTTTTTAAATAAAAAATAAGAATTTACAAATAAAATCTATAATTTATAATAAACTTTTAAAATTTTGACAATTTAATTAATATATATTTAAAACATTTATTTTTGTAAACAATTAATATATATTCTTAAAACGATTTATGCTAGAAATCTGAAAACGTAACAAATCGTGAAAAATATAGTTTTTAAAACATTTCAACAAAATGCTCCAAAATTTTATTTCGCTTAGTCAGCGTATTTTTTGAATCAATAGAATTAGTTTGTTCGTTAATTTGGTGGGTTTTTAGTGTTCGCGAATATTTTTTTCATTCTTTCGCACCAAGATGTTTTAAGAACATTTAAGTTTTTTATGTTTCTATGTATATCCGTAAAACAAAAATTTTTTGTTTCGTAAATAAACTTAAATGTTCTCAAAACAACTAAAAAACCTGGCCAGTTTTTCGCAAAAATATATAATTTTCGTGGTCAGTATTCGAGAGCGATCGCTCCCGCTTCCCGACCAAGCCTGGACGTAACAGTTATATAAGAGACAGGAGGGTAAAAAATTTCCTTTACTCTAAAGGAAATTTCATAGTAAAAATACAAAATATATGTAAATAAATAAAATAAAAATGAGTTTTGTTAAAATTTAAAATTATTAGAATTAGTTAAAATTTAGAACTTTTAGTTATTATTAGTTAAAATTAGTAAAAATTGTAGTATTAGTTAAAATTTAGAAATAGATAGTAAAACATCAATTAGATACAATTTAAAGTTGAACAGAAAAATTAAAACAAAAATAAATAAAAAATGCTGATGCTAATAAATAACATTTAAAAGAATATTTTTTACTTTTCCCTAAATTTTATTTATATGTTAATTAGGATTTTATTTTTAGGAGCGTCAACTACATCAAGTGTCAATTGATATATATGTTTTGGTCAAATACATGTTTGTATTTGGTAATATTATATTACATTTTTGTTTTGTATTTCAAAAACTCATATTGCATTTGTTTAAATATGCATTAAGAAATCTAGAACTGATGTGTTTGTAGTTTTTTTATTTAATTTTGTTTTAAATTAAAAAATTTTTATTTGATTAAATGTATTTAACTCTAAAGTTCATTTTTATTTTTGCCTTCGGTTTTAAAAAAATAGAACAACGGTTTTGGCTATAGTTCATTTTATGTAATGGTTAATGTAATATAATTTATTTTATGTAATATACCTAATGAATTTTTATTAGTAACAACTTCTTTAATTTATTCAGCTCCTCCAAAATTTGAAAGTCTGTGATTCAAAATTTTGCTTTTCCGAAAACAAATGTATATATACAGTGGGGTGCAAAATTATAACCTCACCTGTATAGTCACCTTAAAACTATCTTTTAAAGTTTGTTGATCTAATCTTTCAAAATTTGTTGATTCTATTTGTAGATCATTTTTTGAAATAAACAAAATAATTTACATGAATCTATTTATACTTTAATTAACTCAAATTATAAAACCGTTTAAAACCGTGGTGCACAATTATAACCTCGTTATCTAAATTGCATCAAAAGTTGTTAAAAAGTAGTAGTAAATTCTGTTTTCAAATAATGTTTATTACATTTAAAAATTATAAAAAACATTCTAACGAATGCATAATAACGAATACACTCTCCGATGAAGAAAAAGGCAAAAAGAAGGGCTATGGGAGGCAAAGAAGTAATGATTTAGTGCGTTATTTATGCGATATTAGTGCGTTCGGTTATTTTGGAAAGACTTCAATTAACTTTATTACTACTAAGTTAAATGCAGAAGGATATAAAAACTTGTTGAATGGTCATTTGAATGATATTTCACAAAAATTTGGTAACATCAATTTTTTTTTCATTTTCCAGCAAGATAATGCTCCAATTCATAGAGCAAAGTCAAATATCTCATGGCTTACCAGCAAGAAAATTCAATTATTAGAATGGCCAGCGCTCTCACCTGATTTAAGTCCTATCGAAAATGTATGGGGCATCTTAGCAAGATGTTTTTATGCAGAAAGGAAACAATCTTCGAATGTCGATGAATTGAAAAAGGCAATTGTTCATGTTTTAAAGAACATATCTCTTGCAGATCTTAGAAAACATTCGGAAAGTATGCCTAATCGAATATTTGAAGTTATTTAGAATGGCGGTGTCGCACAAATTTATTTCTCCCATAAATTTATTTCCGAGTCGCACGCCGATTGGTTAAAGAGGCAACCCGAAATAACTAAACAACGCCATACAAACTAAACAACAACACCCGTAAATTTTCTTCCTACCCTGATTAGAAGTTATATTTTTTCTTAAGCAATGCCTAAGATCAATGCAAAATCTCAAGAGCTACGTCTCGAAGAGATAAGACAATGCGTATTAGAAAGAAAGTATGCAAATACTGTTTTGAACAGTGAAAAACGTCGGCTCAGAATAGCTGCAAGAAATTTTAAAGGAATAGACAA